AAAGATATTTTTTACATATTAACTCGATTTTTTATGGATTTGGTGAATTAAAATAAGTTTGAGAAAACTCATAATCTTAAACGTATTCGGTTTACACAAAATGCTTACATGCAAATTAAAATTTGAATGATAAAATATATTTATTAATATGGAAGATGTACAATTTGATATTTTTTGTTTTTAATTTCTTTGATATATTAAAAAGTTTACGAATTTATTTTAACTTAAATATTTTAATCTCGTGTTTGATGCGGCACAAAAATCTAGTATAACTTAAAAGATAAGCTTAATGTATAAAAGTTTGATGTATACTTGATGATCAAAAGAAGAAAATCAAACTTATAAGACATAGAAGTAGACAAAATAAGATGCAAAAATAGTCGTTTATATCATTGCCTTGGTCGAAGTTTGTGAAGTTCCGTTCCAACTTCCACGTGTCGTTCGTGGATTGTAAACTGAGGCGAGAAAATCACACGTCATCATCGTCTGCAAGAGTCTGACGTGGCAGAAAGGCTGACATAAGCGGATATAGAAGTTGCATGTAAACTGAATGGGGAGTAGTCGAGAACAAGTGAAAAAGCGACGTGTATGTCTCTCTTTTACAACTTCGCATCACCATATTATACTCCATATTATTAACAAATCAATCAGATAGACATTTAAAAATTATAAGAAGAATTTGACATTTTATATAGACATGCTTTTGCATTCCACAACTAATTACATCCTTCATCAAAAATTGAATTATCATTTTGGAAATTTATGTGTTTGATAATACATGGATTTTGATTTATCCATCGGGTCGTTTATTAAGATGTGAATATTCGTACATACAAACAAAAAAAACTCGTAACGAAATCTAATTATTAAAATTGAAAGGGAACAAAAAGAAGAAGAGAGAGGTAATTTAAAATGGCAGAGAAGAGGTGAATTGGAGATGCATGCGTCATGGATTTGGTCCAACCATATTTGTCAAAAGGTAACTACATAAAACAGAGCAAACATTAATACAGTTATAATTAAAAGTTTACCATAATAAGTAAGAGAATCGATTAGCTGTTTTAAGGGGGAATGACGTCAGCTTCATCTCTATCATTATATGCCTCATCGACGTTTGCTTCTGTTTCAAGTTTCTTGTCAGTGCCTGCCTACTAATTAAAACTACGTCACATGACCTCATCCCCTATATTACCCACACGAGCCCCCTAACAAAGATACGGTCAAACTCTTGTCTTTATTTCGTTTTTATTTTTTTTCCTTTTGTCTATTGGATGAAAATATATATATTGGCTTTCGTCGTACCTCCAAATAATGCGATGACTCTTCCAATATTTCCTTTTCTATGTAAGAATCTATAAGAATATTCTTCTTTCATATACTATTATTTTACCATAGTTTATCTTCAGCAAAGAGAGTTGAGTATCACACAAGGTCAAAAAAAAA